GTACTGTGGTGTACTGTGGTGTACTGTATGTGGTACTTAGTGGTATTTGGAGCCACATATTCTCAGACTGTGGTTGAACTCAGTTTTCTCAGTCGACATGAAAACAACTAATGATAATTGTATCAGTCAAATGGCCTACATGCAGTGTGTGTGTGTGTGTGTGTCAACATCTGCTCCAGCATCTATACATACCTCCTGCCCTCCCCCCCTCCCCCCCCTGCACCTGTTCAGTCTCTGCTCCCAGGAGACGACCGTCGGTAACGGCGTGGACTGTTCCACGTCAGCTCCACGCCGCGGACCTCAGCGGTGACAGATGGGCTGGACAAATATGGGGCAGTTAGTGGCCCACATCAGATCTGTGTAATACAGTATTAACCCCAATAGCAGTTAACATATACTCCAGGAGGGGGGAGTGTCGCCCATCCTAACGATGACACTATGACGTGACGATGAAGCTCAACGTACGAGTCGCAAATTTTTTTTTTGTCCACGATAAATTTTACAGTTTATTTTTTAAACCAAATGATCTCCAGTCAAACTGTGACCAAAATCCCAACTGAAATGGTCTCTTCAATGACCCATTGATGGTCCACGGTTACTGGTCCACGGTTACTGGTCCACGGTTACTGGTCCACGGTTACTGGTCCACGGTTACTGGTCCACGGTTACTGGTCCACGGTTACTGGTCCACGGTTACTGGTCCACGGTTACTGGTCCACGGTTACTGGTCCACGGTTACTGGTCCACGGTTACTGGTCCACGGTTACTGGTCCACGGTTACTGGTCCACGGTTACTGGTCCTGATGTCGCCATGGTTTAGTTTGTTGCCTCTTTAGCCCCAGATCCCAGGGTTTGTGGCTCTTCAACCCCCCCTCCCTCTTCAAACACCCCCCCCCCCGTTGCCTGCCATCATGCATTGTTGATGATGAAGCGTTGGTGCGCAGCCCCAGGCCTGGCCTATAAATGGCTGGATTTCTGATGAGGATATTAACATTGGATTAACACAGCACACTGGAGAGAGCAGCTGGGGGGGGGGGGCAGGGGGGGGACCCCCCCGGCAGCTCTTTATGGTTGAACAGAGCAGCAGCCGACTCTGAGTAGACACAGAACTACTTTGTACTGGAGTATACTGCAGTCAGGTCGTAGTACAGGGCTGAAGTATACTGTGATCAACCTCCTCAGTCATTGATCAGTTATTGATTTTTTTCTCACCAATTCCCCGGGGGGGGGGGCAGAGTCTGAGACTAGGATCAGACTGGGACTACAGCTACAGTCTATAGACTTTAGGACCAGTCTATAAACTCACCTGACCTCCACCCTAAGGTCACACATTGTTTGCTAACACGAGCTAACGGTTGTGCCGTCTGTTGTCGACGTGTGGTCTGTTCTGGAGCATCGCTCTCTCACTGTGGTTGTTTATAATGACATGGTTTGGTTACGGCGCCCTCTTCCTCTGACTTTTGGTAGGATCATCTGAAGTCTATAATGATTGGGTGGAGAAGATCAAAGGATCAGATCCAGCTCCACTGGTCGGTGTAAACGACTGGTTCAGAGTTGGTGCTGGTGCTGGTGCTGGTCTCACTCAGCCCAGGGTCCAGACGTCCTGTCATGTGATGACCCAGGTCACAGTACCTGTTGGTCAAGTACTACAGTACTGATACACAGGAGTAATCACATCTGTCTTGGAACTTTTTGACTGTGTTTGGATTGTTGATGTGTGTTTGTGTCTGACATGTTCTGTCCATGGTGTCGCCCCCCCCCCACACACACACTCTCACACCCCCGGTGTCTGACTCCGTGTTAACACCTTCACTCTGCAGTCGGTCCAGTGTTACCTGTCGACTACATCTGCACTCCACTTAGCAGTGGAGGGTGTTACAGTATGTAGGGGGGGGGGGGGGGGGGGCGCTGCGCGTGAGAGCAACACTCCAACCATGAATAAGTGCAGCACAGAACAAAGACGGAGCCAGAGAGGAGGAAGTACTTTAGTCAGTACACGCAGTATCTAATTTTATCCTCTGAGGAGCCGCGGTTTGGACCACAGTCCCTGGCTGTCATCGTTTCTTCTACTGTGCTTTGACCCTGACATGATTGTTACCTTCCTGATGTTGGTGACAAGTTTTAAAAGAGCTGGAGGTGGAGGGGGGGGCAGTGGGG